AGAGGATCATCGCCATCCGCTACCTTTGCCAGAAGACCTAATGCGTAAATTGTCTGGAGGCCATGGATTCACTAAAATTGATTTAGCAGATGCTTACAACCAGATTCGGTTGGGTCCTGAAAGTCAAAAACGACTGGCACTTAATACTCACCAAGGAGTTCTCCAGGCGCGCCTACCTTTTGGTATCAAAAGTGCACCGGGTTATTTCCAGAGCATCATGGAACAACTGATAGGTAACCTTCCAGGTGTTGCTGTATATCTTGATGATATCCTAGTTAGACATAATGCTGAGGAACATTTACATAACCTAAGACAGCTTCTACAATGCTTGCAGGAGAATGGACTAAGATGCAGAAGGGAGAAATGTGAGTTTGCACAAGCAGAAATTGTGTACCTAGGACACAAACTATCAAGTCAAGGTGTTGCGAAAGGTCATAAAGTGGAAGCGGTACTTCAAATGCCCCCACCGACAGATGTCTCAACACTGAGAGCGTTCCTGGAGAAATTGCAGTTCTACGGTAAATTCCTACCAAACCTTTCAACCATAGCCAGCCCTCTGAACAGGTTGACCATAAAGAATATACCATGGGAGTGGGGTAAAGAGCAACAAGCATCATTTCAACACTTGAAGAACTTGTTATGCAATGACACAATTCTTTGTCACTTCGACCCATCACTACCTATTGGTATTGCTTGCGACGCTTCTGAAACCGGCGTGGGAGTAGTGTTGTTTCATCTTTATGCCGATGGGAGTGAAAGACCATTGGCCTATGCTTCAAAAACACTAAATGACAGCCAACGCAAGTATGCACAAATTCAGAAGGAAGCCCTTTCTATTATTTTTGCCTTCAATAAATTTCATCAGTTCCTCTATGGACGAAAGTTCATCCTAGTAACAGATCACAAGCCCTTGATATCACTATTTGCACCTGATACACCGACACCAACTCTAGCTGCAAATCGTTCAGCCCGGTAGGCTCTAATATTGAATCAGTATGATTATACCATTGAGTATCGGAAGACAACTGATCATGGAAATGCAGATGCGTTAAGTCGGTTGCCAATGGCACCGGACAAAGATTTTGACAGGGAAGAGGATGATGCGGAAACAGACACAGTCTGTATGATAAAGTCAATCAATCTCCAATTAAACAACAATGCTAAACTGTTGCAGAAAGAAACCCTTAAAGATCCAGTACTGACAACTGTGATTAGATACACCAGAGAAGGGTGGCCTTCACGGGAGATAACCGTTACCTAAAGTACAGAGGGGTACAAGGTACAAGATTTCAAGAGACTAAAGGATTCACTTATGGTAACAAATGGATGTCTACTGTATGGAAACAGAGTGGTGATACCCTTCAAACTACGTTCACATGTCTTGGAACTGTGGCATATTGGACACTTTGGCATGCAGAGAATGAAACATGTCTCTTATACACATCT